GATGGTTTTTAATATCATTGTGATTTTTGTTATGATTTTGGAAAAAAACAGTGAAGCAACCTTGTTTTCTTTGCTGTGTCTTAAGTTGTTTATGTAGCATAGAGTGTTAGATTTCATATAATTTCTTGTCACCTTATTCATATTATTTTTCCTTTGCTTCTAAAACCTTCAAAGAGCCAAACTTTACATTTCTGAAGTGAAAATTCCATATTACCTATCTAAATCAAATTACACATTATTATGTCAATGGATGAGCTCTTCCACCTATACCTATGTGGGCAGATGTTCGAAACTTCTAGGTACTTAATGAATATTTGTGTAAATTCCCCTCCACCAATAGTTTATTATTTTGGTGTTTGGGGGATAAGATTACTAGGTAATTGCCTACCTCTATCCAAATCAAGTTACACATTCTTGTTTAATAATTTGATGGCTCGGAGGAGTAAAAGAAAGTATTTGGTAATACATAATAAGAAAAATTAGGTATTAGACATAATTAACTTTAGGGAGACTTTGAAAAAACACAAAGGAGAGAGAAATTTTGTAAAAGAAGCCAAAATGGACAAAATTGTCCTTATTTATTTTTATATATTTGCATGTCTTTGATTTGAAAGTTGTGAGGTTTTTCTGTCTTTTTTGAAAAAGCTTTGGCTTTTTCCAAAAGTGAATTTTTTTTTTTGCTTAAACCTAAATGTACTTTAACTTTACTAATTAGTATTTGAGACATTGAACATTTTTATTTGGGTTTTAATACCTAGGAAAGAATTGTTATTTTGGATTAGGTCAAAGAGGAGGCCCAGATTCATTGGGCCTGTCAAATTTATAAAGGTAAAATATATTTGTACCCTTTTTATTTAAAACCCTTCCAAAATCAGATCTCACCCTTTCTTTCTCTCTCTTGGACAGACGCAGCACAGCGACTGCCTCAGATCATGGCTTCTCGGGCCACCTGCGATGACGACTGGTAACAAGTAGGGTACAGTCTATGCTGTTATGATTTCTAACTTTCATACGGTTAGACTTGAGCTATTTTCTACAGGTTATATATCTGATTTCTTTCAATTTAACAGACTAGTAAAGTTACTTGAGGATATCATGGATGACATCAGAATACTGATATTCATGGATACTAAGAAAGGATGTGATCAGATCACTCGACAGCTCCGCATGAATGGTTGGTCTGCTCTCTCAATTCATGGAGACAAAAGTCAAGTAGAAAGGGATTGGGTCCTCTCTAAGTTTAAAGCTAATGACTGCAACAGATGTTGCTGCTCATGGTCTAGGTATGGAAATAATTTCTTTTGAGTTTGTCAAAAGACTTGAAAGGAATTCTTGTTTTGTGTAAACTTAGGAAAATATCAAACCCCCACCGTGGACACCATTTCATTTTGCTTTTTCCTATATTTTATCTTTCATGGTTTTATGATATTTTATTTTATTTGCACTTCTTTGTTATTTATTAATTTTTTTTATTTATCTATTGAAAGATGCTATTCTCCCCAACTAACAATTTCTAATTGTTTCCCATCTGGGATGAGACCCACTCCACGAAGAATATTACTATTTTTTGATTAATAAGGCTATTTGAAGCAGTCAATTGATACTTGATTCAGTTTTTTCTTTTGTGTGTGTGTGTGTGAAGGAGATCGACTCTCCTCCACCTGTGAGAGTCTCTTTCTCTTTCATTCTCTTTTAATGCATTTGTTTGTATTTGGAATTGGGGTTTGAAAATATTGTTAATCCTTACGATTTTATAGGTTTTTCTTTTTCTTTTTTGTTTGTTTGTTTGAAAAGATGGCCTGGTGTTGTTGGATCAATTTTGCTATATAATTGCCTTTTTTTTTTTTTTTCTTTTTGATACAAGTGATTATGTTTTTTGGTCAATTTTGTGAAAATCAAAATACTTGAGAAAAAAGAAGCTGTTTTGAAGAATCAAATTCAATTTCATCTAATTACAATTGGTCTTTTGGAAACTGGAAACTGCATTGCAGTTTTCATTTAATTACAATTTGATTTTTGTTCTTTGCTTGGCCTTCAACCTCATTAATTTGAAGAGTAGAGGCTACCCAGATGAGGAATTGGGTGGGTAAGAGAAGAGTAGAACTATCCAAGAGCAAGGGAACTCAAAATTGGACTTTTGAAAACTGGAAACTGCATTGCAGTTTTGGATTGCAAGTGACGATAAAACAGACAGGGACATCTGCACTCTTCAGAGGGTGATGACTCAGTCTAATGGGAATCTCTCTGATGCGTTTTCAACATTTTTGCACTGCACTTGATTTTTGTGTTATTGTGTAATTATTTGTTTATGTTGGTTTTTTTCTTTTAAAATCATAAATTTGAAGAGTCTCTTTCTCTTTCATTCTCTTTTAATGCATTTGTTTGTATTTGGAATTGGGGTTTGAAAATATTGTTAATCCTTACGATTTTATAGGTTTTTCTTTTTCTTTTTTGTTTGTTTGTTTGAAAAGATGGCCTGGTGTTGTTGGATCAATTTTGCTGTATAATTGCCTTTTTTTTTCTTTTTGATACAAGTGATTATGTTTTTGGTCAATTTTGTGAAAATCAAAATACTTGAGAAAAAAGAAGCTGCTTTGAAGAATCAAATTCAATTTCATCTAGCTACTTTGGAAATGGTTGATGCCATCACTGTCATATAATATCTTGCAATACCATTTAAGCTTCAGTTCAGTGAAATTTTATACAGGTTCTGCATTGTAGTTTTGCACAAACTACATTGCAGTTTTGGTAATTACAATTAGATTTTTGTTCTTTCCTTGGCCTTCAACCTCACCAATGTGAAGAGTAGAGGCTACCCATATGAGGAATTTGGTGGGCAAGAGGAGTAGAACTACCCAAGAGTAAGAGAACTCAAAATTGGACTTTTGGAAATTGTATTGCAATTTTCATTTAATTACAATTTGATTTTTGTTCTTTCCTTGGCCTTCAGCCTCACCAATTTGAAGAGTAGAGGCTACCCAGATGAGGAATTGGATAGGCAAGAGAAGAGAGAACTACCCAGGAGCAAGGGAATTCAAAATTGGTCTTTTGGAAACTGGAAACTGCATTGCAGATTTCATTTAATTACAATTTGATTTTTGTTCTTTGCTTGGCCTTCAACCTCATTAATTTGAAGAGTAGAGGCTACCCAGATGAGGAATTGGGTGGGTAAGAGAAGAGTAGAACTATCCAAGAGCAAGGGAACTCAAAATTGGACATTTGAAAACTGGAAACTGCGTTGCAGTTTTCGATTGCAAGTGACGATAAAACAGACAGGGACATCTGAACTCTTCGGAGGGTGATGACTCAGTCTAATGGGAATCTCTCTGATGCATTTTCAACATTTTTGCACTGCACTGGATTTTTGTGTTCTTGTGTAATTGTTTGTTTACAGTTTCAAAAACCGCGTTGCAGTTTTGGTGATTATAATTAGATTTTTGTTCTTTCCTTGGCTTTCAACCTCACCAATTTGAAGAGTAGAGGCTACCCATATGAGGAATTTGGTGGGCAAGAAGAGTAGAATTACCCAAGAGCAAGAGAACTCAAAATTGGACTTTTGGAAACTGCATTGCAGTTTTCATTTAATTACAATTGGATTTTTGCTCTTTCCTTGTCCTTCAACCTCACCAATTTGAAGAGTATAGGCTACCCAGATGAGGAAGTGGGTGGGCAAGAGAAGAGTAGAACTACCTAAGATCAAAGGAACTCAAAATTGGACTTTTGGAAACTGGAAACTGCATTGCAGTTTTCATTTAATTAAAATTTAATTTTTGTTCTTTCCTTGGCCTTCAACCTCACCAATTTGAAGAGTATAGGCTACCCAGATGAGGAAGTGGGTGGGCAAGAGAAGAGTAGAACTACCTAAGAGCAAGGGAACTCAAAATTGGTCTTTTGGAAATTAGAAACAGCATTGCAGTTTTCATTTAATTACAATTTGATTTTTATTCTTTCCTTAGCCTTCAACCTCATCAATTTGAAGAGTAGAGGCAACCTAGATGAGGAATTGGGTGGGCAAGAGAAGAGTAGAACTACCCAAGAGCAAAGGAACTCAAAATTGGACTTTTGGAAACTGGAAACTTTATTGCAGTTTTCATTTAATTACAATTATTTTTGTAGCTGTTTTTGTTTTTGTTTTTTTTAACATAATTGATATCTACATTGTATTTTTGTTGCAGTTTTTGTTTTTATTTGCAGTTTTTGCGTGAACAAGTGTTGAAATGATTTTTTTTTTTTTTAAAAACCGTTGATTGTTTATATAAATACTGTATAGCTGAACAAATATTACAAAATCAAGTTTGGTGTAGTGGTTTGTGAGTGAGCCTTCCTCCTTTGAGGGTCAAGGTTCAAGTCTATTCAATGACACAAAATCTTTTTTTTTTTTTTTAAAGGTGAATAAAGGGCAATGGAGTTGGTCCCTTGTAGACGGTGGCAGGTTGGTGACGAGCCACGATGGTGGCAGGTGGCCGGCGGCGAAATTTCGGCAGTGGTGGCCGGTGGCAGAATTTCGATGGTGTTGGTCGACGGCAGAATTCCGATGGTGTTGGCCGATGACAGAATTCCGATGGTGGCCGGCGACAGAATTCCGGTGGTGGCCGGCGGCGGGATTCCGGCAATGGTGGCCGGGGGCGGGATTCTGGCGGTGGTGGCCGACGGCAGGTGGGCGGTGATGGTTAGCTAGATATGGACATGTGGCATAATATGCTTACCTTAGAAGGAGTGATATTGTGTGTAATTTTGATATTTTTTAGTGATATTTTTGTAAAATTAGGTGCCACATTTAGTCTTTGGCCTTATGCTAATTAGATAAAATTGTATTCTTATTTTCCAAATTAGTAAACTATATTGTGTTTTAAAACTAAAGCTCCCATAATAATATGTCGAAAATAAGTTGAAAGCAAAGTATTTGATGAGCTGGAAATAAAAAATAAAAAAAATTTACGCGCAGCAGCTTCAACGTAAATCTGATTTCGGGTCCGAAGTCCACAGTCCAATCAAGAAAGTAGGCTCATCGCCGAATACAGCTAGACGTTGTATTCATCTGAAAAACGAGGGAGAATTTGGTCAGCTTTGGGCCACAAGAAAAGTATTAAAACCATTAAATTTAAACCGCTACGTAAATATTAAAAACCCAATTTCTATTTTCTCATTCCTTTTCTCTCTCCAAATTCCCGAACTTGCAGAAGAAGAAGAAGAAAATGACGAGCTGTTTGTGCTGCAGACCAGCGATTGTGGCCAAATCAATTCACAACGAGGGCTTTGCGTCGCCGTCTAGAGCTCTAAATCGTGTTGCTGGGTTTGTACCTTACGGTACAAACGGGAGGTCTCTCAGTTTAAGGTTTCGTGGCGTGCGCGCTTCAGCTGTGGACTCGTATGAGAGCTCTTCTGATTTCGTCAATCGCATGGAAAAAGCCTGGTTAATATCCAAGGTAATTCTCATCAATCCTATTTTCCAAAACTTCAGTTTCAATATTGGATTGTGTTGTTATCAATTGGGTGTGGTTTTATTCAGTAAAATTGAATTGAAATTCAATAGTTATGTATGAGAGAGCAGACGCAGCATAAATGAGTGAAAAGCTAGACTTTTGGTATTGATGAATTCTACTTTTGGCTGATTGGTTTTGAAAATTGTTCAATTGCCTATGACTCAAACTCAAGAAGACAACATGTCTGTCAATTTTGTGTTCTTCAAATAGGTATTTTGGGTGATGTTTTGTTCACACACACACACCCCCCCACCCCCCACCCCCCAAACCAAAAAAGAAAAAAGAAAGGCAAAAAACACTTTTGGTTGTGTGAATTTCTTGCAAATCATTTCTAGATGGAAAGGAAATGCAGAGAAGGTGCGGTCCTAAATTAGAACTGAAGTAGTTAAGTACATGAGATTGTATGGAAAGATGGATGTTTATCTGGGATTATGTTGTTAGTGAATGTTAAAAAACAGTCGCCCGCATAGTTGTGGAAGATTGCTTTGTCAATGGTTGATGCATGTGGGTTAGAGTTGTACATGCATCGACCATTCAAAGCCACCCACACAAACCTTTTTATCGTCTTCTAAATCTTCAATGTTTATGCTACTTGCAGCAACCAAGGCCTGTTGCTTGTTCTTCTTGCGACTCAAACGGTCATATCGAATGCAAATGGTGTGGGGGCACAGGCTTCTTTATGCTCGGCGATAACATGCTTTGCCAAGTCCCTTCGAGAGGTACTAGTTGTGTTATTTGTGCTGGAAAGGTAAGTCAAATCTTCCAAGAGCCTCTCAGTGATAGTTACTATCATCCCTCAGTTTCCAATATGCGTTTGGATTAAACCCCCATATCTCATGTTCCTCCAGGGATCAACGTGTTGCTCTGATTGCAAAGGAACAGGCTTTCGTGCCAAGTGGTTAGGACAGCCTCCTATTTCCAAGTAGCAGCCTTGCTCGAAAGACGTCTGCACTGTCGGAAAGATTCAACCATCAAAAGCTGCCGTAGAAAATGCAGTGACATCTTGTTCATGTTGTAACAAATTCTTCTCTGTTTCTTTTAGGGCCTCCATGGTCAAGTTATGATAGTTACATATTCTTTAAATCCACAATAAAAAGTTATACCTTCTTGTTTTAGATTGTGTAGTCCACACACAGAACATCACTCCTTTACTAGTTCTACCTTATTCATTTTAATTCTTGAATGTATATAGTCATTGCCTGCACAATATTCTATTATCACATTGGTTTATTAAATTATTGTTGTTAGAACTGTGGTTAAGAAGTTTTGCTCTCAGAATGAAGCAACTGTTAATTTCTTCATGCTTCAATTTCTTGTAGATTAACCACCTCATCGATTCTATCTATGAAGATTTCGTCAATAACATATTAAATCAGGCCAAGGAAAAAAAAATTAAATATGAACAATGCACAAATTATTCTCATAAGATTCACATTCTCTACTATCAAGATCCCGAGGCTTTCCCTTACCTTCAAATAGCCTGCCGTCTCAAGTGATCGTGTAAAAGTAAACATATTAAAGAACAGAAAAAAATATCAAGATAACTTTTGTGAACCAAAAGGTGGCAAAACAAGATAACCAACATGCATTTCTACCTGCTCTGCTACATAAATCTATAACAAAAGGATGAACTTGGTTTTTCTCCCAATACAATGCAACACCACAATGTAACCAGATATACATATGTAACAGATCATCTCACTCAACAAGATTGACGATGTTCCAAACTTTTTGGCAGTACCGCGATATTTAACTTGATCTGCTAGGATTACATCACATCAGGAGCTTGAAATTAATGCCTGGTGCCCTAAAGTGTTGGAGCTTGAAAGATGTTCAGTTGCTTTAAACTATAGCTGAGAAGAGTAATTGATTAATATCCTCGGAATCTGAATCGTGCTTCTCATCCCCTGCATCAACAACACATCAAGATTTTTTCCATAACTCTAGATGCATTCATCAAGATATTGCTGGCTATGCATTCTTTCCAGTAAATTATCAAGGGTGCTCCCAATGGAGCCACCACAGAGAAAAGGCATTAAATTCTAGAGTTTTTGCATCTCTCTACGAACATTTTTAGGTCCTCATAGCAAGGCTGAATGTCAAGATATTTCTTTAGGGAATTAGAGACAGTCCTTGCGCTCCAATGAAGGAAATAAAATGGGAAGCCTCAAATTGGCCAACATGCCCTGCTTATATCATTACTTATTTTGAACGAATATGAACACCAACCTCACAAAACATTGAAACTTCCTACCATTTCTTATTTTGAAGAAGCAGATAAGATTTCTTAGTACATTTAACACCCTTTCATCGTTACTAATGAAGCAGTGATATATTATACCTACATGACCAGCATCATCAACATTCTCCCTACAATATAAGTTATAGTATTTCAGTATTTACCTGTTTTTGATCTGACTTGAACCGTCCACTCATCAATGATCTGCATTCAGAGATCAACATGGTCATAACATTGCATCCGAAGCCCTCTAAATACATGAAAATGAGCTAAAGATATAACAAAAGCGAAGGTTGGGCGTGTAGCAAGGCCTAGCTGTGGTGCTTTACTGAAGAATAAAGCTACCCACGTATTATCTTTGCAAGGGCATTTATTTAGAAAGATCGCCTAGCCAAAGATTTGATCTTGGTTGCTTGCTGGCAGATGGTGCAAACACTTGAGACACCATCTGGAAACTAGACAACCATCCACATTGGTTTGCTAACAACAACAAACAACATTAATACTGAAAACATGGATTATTCTGATGCACCATTTCATTGCCATATCAAAGGGAGAAACTAAATATTCTCAGCTTTTATTTCTTGGACTATATAAAGACATGCCAGGATAGATAAAATATAGTGACCAATTCATTAAATTTTGATGCTTACTTTCACTCTAATTATCAATTTCATACTGGCTCAAATATTTACTGTAACGCAAATAAAGTGTACCCAAAAGGCACTAACCTGATTGAAGTTAGCAAAAGCAGAATCTTCAGAATCAGTGTTGGGGGAAATTCCCATTGACGCCTCCATCCGCTGCACTAGATTTCTGTTCCCAACCAGAGTCGTCCTAGCCTGGTCAATCAAATCCTACAAAACCCAAATTACTGAAATCAAATTGAAACCAAATCAAACTAAACAAATTTCACATACAGAGCGAGAAAAAGAAAATGACCTGTTTGGCTGAAAGAAGTTCACGGCATTGCTCTTCCAAGGTCGACAATTCTTCTTGAATCTTCTTTATCCTTGAAACCAGCTTCATCGGGTTTGCATTTTCGGGGTAGATTTGCTGGAACTCCCTCTCGAGCCTGTGCTGAACCACTGTGAGATCGTGGTTCGCCTTCGTCAACAGTTTCACCAAGCCATCCGTTGCTTCATGGTGCTCGCTTACGTGTCCCATTTCTTTATAAATGACCTTCTCTCTCCTAGGGTTTTTGCTCTCTGTTCACGGAACTCGACAATTTACCCGCCTCTGAAGCTCTCCGACTGAGTTTGCTTCGCGGTTTTGAATTTTAATTTCTCGGAGCAATGTGCACAATTCAACTGTATTGAGGCCCAATTTTATTTAATTGTATTGCAGATCAGGTCATGTAGAAATATTTTATTTTTATTTTAAAAAAACGAAGCAGTAAGATTTTGTTCGACTTTTTTCTGTTAATCAAAGCTTGACATATCATAATCTTAAGAGTTAAATATTTTTTTATCACCGAAAAAAAATGAGCCAAATTGATCAATGTGTTTTTCAAAGTTTACAATTTATAGACATTACGTTAAGTGCAGTTTTTATTTTTATTTTTTTAGGAAGTACCTTCTGACTTCTTCCTTTAACTCAATGAGTTAGGGTATATTGTGTTATTAGGAGTTAGCATATTTAGAGAAAGGGACATTTTGAAAAAAGCAAAATGTGAGAGAAAAATTTTAAAAGAAGCAAAAATGGACAAAAATGCCCTTATTTATTTTTAGATTTCCTAAGGAATCCAATACATTTGCATGTCTTTGATTTGAAAGTTGAGTGGTTTTTTTGTCTAGGGTTGAAATTGAAATTGTGAGGTATAAGGAAAATAAAAAAGGCAAATCAAATTAAAATGAAATCAACTACTTTCCAATATATTTTTGGTGCTCTATATCACATTGATTACGTCTCCTTGCCATCTGAAGTCACACACACTTTTTACTCAATCAATTCAAACTTCAATATAGCATCCAATTCATGACTTCTACCTCACAATTCTGATATCAACCCAATATTTTTCCCAATTTGTTAAACCCTAATAGCATAATATACCTTAACTCATAAAAATATAAAAATAAAAACTGCACTTAAAACTAAGTTAACGGAAGATAATAGAATATCTATAAATTGTGAACTCTGAGAAACACAATGCCCAATTTTACTAAAAAAATTTCTCAGTAGCCAAATTGAATTTTTGCCCAAAAATGTATTGAACTCCCAATCTGAACTCGTAACTTCATTCTCTCTCGCCACATGAGTTAGCTTGAGGAGTTTCACGGTTTCGGCTTCTGACTCATAGACTCAGAGACCAAGTTTTGTTTTGGGCTTTTAAATTTTATTGTTTCAGCGAAACAGGCCCAATGAGAGCAATTACTCTATTTGGACCCAATTTCCAATATTTGTAGTATTGGCCTGTCTGAGGAGCCCAAGTTCCTTTTCAGTTTTTATACCGAACGGGGTTTCAACGTCGGAGAAGAGTAGGCGTTTGGAACACAACCATGGCGAACGAGGAAGAGAGGGTTCTAGAGAACCTGCTGGAGCTTCAATTGCAAGAGCAACGAGTCTCTCTCGCTACCATCAACGACGCTTTAGCCTCCGAGCCCAACAATACCGAGCTACTCGCGGTACATCCTCTTTTACTCTAATGTGTAAACTTTCTGTTTGGTAACCGAGAAAAACCACGAAAGAACATGGATAATGTTAGGTTTTACGTTTTATTGTGTTGGTGGAGTACGGTTTTGTTCTAATCCAGCTGAGAGTTGGCAATAAAAGCGTAGAACTTTCAATTTGTACAATTTTATTGCTGAATTTGTCAAATGAATTATCTTATTAGTATTATGATATTTACATTCAGTTCCAGGTAGGTTATTGTGCTTGAAATTAGCTTAAATGGGTTGCATTCAGAAATGTGAAGGATCAAGGTCTTAGCTCTGCAAGTTAATGATCTTTTAGGAAGATAAGTCTGTATGTGATGCAATGCAAATATAGGTCGGTTTTTGAAAGCCATTATAATTATGCCCTCTCGGAACCCACTTAAATGCAGAGACTTTGTGTGAGTGACTCGTTAGACATTGTTACATTGGGGTTATGTTTTCTCAGCTTCACGAGGAGATTGTTCAGGCTATTAAAGATGCTGAGGAAGGGCTCCTGCACCTTAAACGTGCTCGGTTGTTACGAGAAGCTGATTTAGTATTAGATGGTTCTGCTCATGCTGATGAGGATGTCAAGGTGGAGACTCTTGATCCAACAGATGTTGAGCCGGAGCCTCTAGAGGAACCGAGCTATACTGTTGGGTCGAAATGTAGGTTCCGTCACACTGATGGGCGCTGGTATAATGGTCAAGTTATAGGGTTGGATGGTTCTAATTCTGCTAAGATTTCTTTCCTGACTCCTACATCTGAAAATATGCTGGTGCGTACATTCACTGGTCCTCTGTCTATCTTGTGAATTATAATTTTTGTCTCTATGGCGTTTTCAGTAATGACTTTGGAGATGAACATACTACCCTTGAGTGTAGTCTTTAATATAATATAAGCAACAAGGACACAAAGTACAAACATTTCTTATAAGGTTGAACCTGATGGTTTGTGTCACTTTAATAATCAATATGCTAATGCTGTATAACCACTTCAAAATACTAATGCTATACCACCAAAATGCAGATATGCAAGTTCTTTCTACAACAACGATGTCGATTTGGTACTAACTGCCGCTTATCACATGGTATGTTGTTATCATATCTATTGATGGACAAGTCAGTATTGTAACTTGTCTAAAGTCCCACTGCTTCCATTTTTGCATTGTTATTAGCCTCCAGAACAATGCATGGTGTGAGATAGATTGGTGGGCATAGGCTCATAGCCAGGGCTATATTTTAGATTGGCGGGCATAGCTAGCAAGGCTGCATAAGTACTTCACCCCCCTTTTCTACAATGTTGGTCTTGGTGTATTTCATCTTTAACCTCTATTGGTCATTTCAGCTGATCCTCTACCTTCTTATTGATTGGGAATCAGCTGTCACTGAATTTAGCTTATCTTGAATTTCTCTTTGTTGTACATCTATACTATTGATGCTACTGTTGTTTTTTGAATCAGTTTTTCTCTCAATCTCCATACTCACCTGTTTCTATGCATACAGGAGTTGATGTCCCACTATCCTCACTGAAAAAGTATACCCCAATAATATGGGAGCAGTCATTTGTGGGGTCAAATATTTGGGCAGTCACAGATGGTAAAACTGGTGTTTGGAGGGAAGCTGAACTTGAATCATGGGATGGTGGTGCGCATGGTGTTGGGAAAGTTGTTTTCCGAGATGATGGAAGCTCTGCAAATCTTGGTGAAGAAGCTATTACATTATCGGAGTATGCTCAAATGAGTGCTGAAGAACAAAGTGATTCCAGCTCAGAACAATCTGATTTTAGTGACTATGAAGATGAGGGCCCACAGGGTTTAGGATTCATTGAAAGCACCATCCTGCAGAGGGGCATCCAGACAGATACTGCCATATTTGCAAAGTGGGAGAACCACACCCGGGGCATAGCTTCCAAGATGATGGCCAATATGGGTTACCTTGAAGGAACGGGTCTAGGTGCATCTGGGCAGGGAATTGTAGATCCCATCTCTGTGAAGGTCCTTCCAGCAAAGCAATCTCTTGACCTTGCTGTTGGTTCTCGTGAAGGCGAAGTTGAAGAGGGTAAGGAGAATCAAGGAAAGAAGCGTAGCCGGGGTGGTAAGAGGAAACGTGAAAAGAAGTTTGCAGCATTGGCAAGGGCAGCAAAAGAAGAAGAGGAATCCACACCAGATGTCTTTAGTCTTATTAATAGCCAACTTGCAATGCATGGTGAAGCTTTGAATGGTGGATCAGGGAAGAAGCAGCAGAACAAAGGTTCAGGGGAGGGGAAGAAAGTTGATCGACGGGCGTTGGTTGCGTATGATGATGAAGTGAAGGACTTGAAGGTGCGACTTGTGAAGCTTGAAGAAATGGCGAGTAGAAACAAAAAAGAGAAGGTGGTTTATGAGGCTGCAATGAGGAAATTGACAGAGACTCGCAAAGCTTTGGCAGAGGCTGAGGCAGCTCAGGCTTCTGCATCAAATGCAGTTGTCAGTAGAGAAAAAGAGAAGAGATGGCTTAAGTTTTAGGACCTCTTGGTATTTATTTATGTGCATCATTTGTAATCATATAAACTTTATTTTTATTATGGAAATTTCCTAGGTGAAGAATACCTTTTGGTCCCTTGAGTTGTACATGAATTGACCTTTTTCTCCTCCCCCAAGATTAATGATGTTGTCCCTGACTGAAAATAAAATAGATAAAAACATTTCCAATAACTCTCTCTCTCTCTCTCTCTCTCTCTCTCTCTTTGATTATAAACTCCAATTATATTCTATCTTCTTGACACTTAAAAAAATAAAACCAAATGTATCCAAAAATTAAATATTTTTTTATATATTCTATCTTCTTGATACCGTACCATCCTATAATTTCTCGACTGGAGGGCTTGGGCTTGGGCAGCGTCGGTGTACCGGTGGGTCATTCTAAACCGTCCGATCTTAAAGGGACAGTTATACATATACTTAATCTAATTTCCTTATTTACAGCGTCGGCTCAAGATCCAACGGCCCATATCCCTGGACTAAACCCCAAATAAACAGAAATTGTTCCCTCGTTTTTTTCTTGAGGAAGAAACATAAAGAGTCCGCTTCGTATTGACCAAAAGAATAAACAGTCACCTTCGGACTCTTTACTTCTCCTCCAAGAACTACACCAGCTAAACTCTCGCACGCACCTCGTTCTCCCCTTATATAAAACCTTTAACTTCAAAACCCACTCTCTGTTTTTCTCTCTCTAGACTGTAGCGTAAGGTTTTTCTCTCTCTCGAATCAATGGGGGAATTAGATGCTAGACATGTTGACTCTTTGCCTACTAGTTCCAGTTCAAGACCTTCAGTGACGATCGGTTCGTCGCTAATTCCGGTCATCAACAAGCTTCAGGACATTCTTGCACAGGCAGGCAGCGAATTGGATGTTTCGCTGCCTCAAGTGGCGGGTGTGGGGAGGCCAAAAAGCGGGCAAACAAACGGCTTTCGAGCAACACTACGCCGCG